CTTTGAGATGGTGAAAAAAAAAACCTAAAATATTCGTCATTCTTTTATAGTCTTTTAACTCTCTGACTTACTGACGAAGAAACATAAAATTTTGTATGGAGAAGAAATGTATTGAATATATTTACATCTAATTTACCATAATTTAATATGAAAAAGGTAAATATTAATAATTTTGAGCTTCATTATTAATTTTAATTTTTACCTATATTATATAAAATATATGTCATGGATTATAGTCTTTAAGCTTTGTTTTTTAGTGGGGAAAAACCAAAAATTTATGATGGATTTGAAAAAGAAAATATAATTATTTTTTACTCGTACTATGGTCTATTATGTTTGGTGCTTAGTGATAAAAAAACCTAAGACTTTGGGATGGTGAAGAAAAAACCTAAAATACTTGTCATTCATTTATAGTTTTTTAACTCTCTGACTTACTGACAAAGAAACATGAAATTTTGTGATGGAGAAGAAACATATTGAATATACTTACATCTAATTTACCATAACTCAATGTGAAAAAAGGAAAATATAAATAAGTTTGAGCTTCTTTATTTAATTTTAATTTTCATCTATATTATATAAATTATATGTCATGGATTATAGTTTTTTAACTATGTTTTTTAGTGGGGAAAAACCTAAACTTTTGTGATGGAGTTGAAAAATAAAATATAATTAATTTTTTTACACCTTCTATAGCCTATTATGTTTGGTGCTTAGTGATAAAAAAAACCTAAGACTTTGGGATGGTGAAGAAAATACCTAAAATATTTGTCATTCTTTTATAGTCTTTTAACTCTCTAGCTTACTGACGAAGAAACATGAAAAAATGGTGATGAATAAGAAACATATTGAATATATTTACATCTTATTTACCATAATTCAATGTGAAAAAGGAAAATATAAATAATTTTAAGATTCATTATTTAATTTTAATTTTCACCTATATTATATAAAATATATGTCACGGATTATAGTCTTTTAACTTTGTTTTTTAGTGGGAGAAAACCTAAAATTTTGTGATACAGTTGAAAAATCAAATATAATTAATGTTTTACACCTACAATAGTCTATTATGTTTGGTGCTTACTGATGAAAAAAACCTAAGACTTTGAGATGGTGAAAAAAAAACCTAAAATATTCGTTATTCTTTTATAGTCTTTTAACTCTCTGGCTTACTGACGAAGAAACATAAACTTTTGTAAGGAGAAGAAACATATTGAATATATTTACATCTAATTTACCATAATTCAATGTGAAAAAGGTAAATATAAATAATTTTGAGCTTCATTATTAATTTTAATTTTTACCTATATTATACAAAATATATGTCATGGATTATAGTCTTTAAACTTTGTTTTTTAGTGGGGTAAAACCAAAAATTTATGATGGATTTGAAAAAGAAAATATAATTATTTTTTACTCCTACTATAGTCTATTATGTTTGGTGCTTAGTGATAAAAAAACCTAAGACTTTGGGATGGTGAAGAAAAAACCTAAAATACTCGTCATTTATTTATAGTATTTTAACTCTCTGACTTACTGACAAAGAAACATGAAATTTTATGATGGAGAAGAAACATATTGAATATATTTACATCTAATTTACCATAACTCAATGTGGAAAAAGGAAAATATAAATAAGTTTGAGCTTCTTTATTTAATTTTAATTTTTATTTATATTATATAAATTATATGTCATGGATTATAGTCTTTTAACTATGTTTTTTAGTGGGGAAAAACCTAAACTTTTGTGATTTAGTTGAATAATATAATATAATTAATTTTTTACACCTACTATAGCCTATTATGTTTGGTGCTTAGTGATAAAAAAAACCTAAGACTTTGGGATGGTGAAGAAAAAGCCTAAAATATTCGACATTCTTTTATAGTCTTTTAACTGTCTAGCTTACTAACGAAGAAACATGAAAAAATGGTGATGGATAAGAAACATATTGAATATATTTACATCGTATTTACCATAATTCAATGTGAAAAAGGAAAATATAAATAAGTTTAAGATTCATTATTTAATTTTAATTTTCACCTATATTATATAAAATATATGTCACGGATTATATCTTTTAACTTTGTTTTTTAGTGGGGAAAAACCTAAAATTTTGTGATACAGTCGAAAAATAAAATATAATTAATGTTTTACACCTACTATAGTCTATTATGTTTGGTGTTTAGTGATGAAAAAAACCTAAGACTTTGAGATGGTGAAAAAAAAACCTAAAATATTCGTCATTCTTTTATAGTCTTTTAACTCTCTGTTTTACTGACGAAGAAACATAAACTTAGGTGATGGAGAAGAAACATATTGAATATATTTACATCTAATTTACCATAATTCAATGTGAAAAAGGAAAATATAAATAAGTTTGAGCTTCATTATTTAATTTTAATTTTCACCTATATTATATAAAATATATGTCATGGATTTATAGTCTTTTAACTTTGTTTTTTAGTGGGGAAAAACCTAAAATTTTTTGATGGAGTTGAAAAATAAAATATAATTAATTTTTTACATCTACTATAGTCTATTATGTTTGGTTCTTAGTGATGAAAAAAACCTAAGAATTTGGGATGGTGAAGAAAAAATCTCAAATATTCGTCATTCATTTATGGTCTTTTAACTCTGTGGCTTACTGACGAAGAAAGATGAAATTTTGTGATGGAGAAGAAACGTATTTAATATATTTTCATGTAATTTACCATAATTCAATGTGAAAAAGGTAAATATCAATAAGTTTCAGCTTCATTATTTATTTTTAATTTTTACCTATATTATATAAAATATTTGTCATGGATTATAGTCTTTAAACTTTGTTTCTATGTGGGGAAAAACCGAAATTTTTATGATGGACTTGAAAAATAAAATATAATTATTTTTTACACCTACTATAGTCTGTTATGTTTGAAGAAAAATAATAGTCTTTTAACTCTCTAGCTTACTGACGAAGAAACATAAAATTTTGTATGGAGAAGAAACATATTGAATATATTTACATCTAATTTACCATAATTCAATGTGAAAAAGGTAAATATAAATAATTTTGAGCTTCATTATTAATTTTAATTTTTACCTATATTATATAAAATATATGTCATGGATTATAGTCTTTAAACTTTGTTTTCTAGTGGGGAAAAACCAAAAATTTTATGATGGATTCGAAAAAGAAAATATAATTATTTTTTACTCCTACTATAGTCTATTATGTTTGGTGTTTAGTGATGAAAAAAACCTAAGACTTTGGGATGGTGAAGAAAAAACCTCAAATATTCCTTATTCTTTTATAGTCTTTTAACTCTCTGGCTTACTGAGGAAGAAACATGAAATATGGTGATGGAGAAGAAACATATTGAATATATTTACATCTAATTTACCATAATTAAATGTGAAAAAGGAAAATATAAATAAGTTTAAGCTTCTTTATTTAATTTTAATTTTCACCTATAATGTCAAAAATTAACATCAACTGGTATGTCACAAGGTCTCCTTCTCCAACTCTACACTCAGGCGAACGTTTAAGCTCACCGATTTCACCTCTCTCGAAGATATCAAAGGCAAAATTCACAATCTCCTACCTTACAGAGACAATTGAAGGATTGTGAAGTTCGAGTACCGTTCAACGTCGATTGACAACAGAGGGAGGATTTAGTTCATCAAATTTGAGTTCAAGATACAAGCAAATGTAAGAGTTATGTGGAATACGTATTTTTGTTTTAAAACAAAATTCTACTCGAGTTGAAAGCGACGATTTCAAGATCGGTCGAAGATATGGCGAAGATGTTGAAACGTCCACCTGAATATTGAAGTAATGTTACATTTTATGTTTAAATGATCTATGTAATCCTAATTTTATTTTATGAATCTTAATTTTATTTTGAAAAATTACATGTTTCTAGTTTTGCTACTGATTTGTTGTGTTACGGAAATGTAACTACGAAAACTTTTCGGAGATGTATCTCCGTAATTAAATAAATTAAGTAATATGGTGTAACTCATAATGACCTTTTTTGAGTGTGTTGTATGCGTCCGAAAATATATCTCTAAAAACTGAAAACATTTTGAAATTTTCGCATGGTGCTTAAAAAACATATAAAAAGCATTAAAAAAATCCACTTTTTCATATCCATTAACTCATATTGTTTTCTCAAAGCCCAAAATTTATTAATTCAAATTGTCTCTTGAAGGCCCAAAACCTCACTTTCTTGACTTTTGCATCTCTTCCATAACTTTTCACTAGGATATTCCAAGCATTCTTAAACTTCGTAGATTCTTCAATTTCTTCAAACACATTAGCATAACACATTGACATTGACGAGTGAATGATAAAAATACCTTTTTTTTATTTTTTATCGTTGCATCATTGTGAGTTATCTTATGTGCTTCCTATGGATTTGCAAGTAATAGATTTACTCTATTGATAACATAAATCTCTTATATACCAATATGTTGGTCTAAAACCAAAATGTTTAGTTCCCTTGCAACTTAAATAACTAGTGAAAGAGTGAAAATTCGAGAGAGAAGGATTATGAAATACTTTGTATTCGATTGATGATAACTTATACAAGATGAAAGGGGTGATTTTATAGCACAAATAATCACCTCCTAATTTGTTTACTTGTTGAGCAAGTAAACCAATAACTACCTCTAAAATTAGTCAGAATTAACTAATTCTAAACCATTTAAGAAACAAACTAACAAAACACTATCAAAGCTTGCTAATCAAGCTACTCAAAATATGATTTAAAATAAATAAATAAATAAACAGACCTCAACATTGCATCACCATGGTGCTCTTATTATATAATTCAGACATTCAAACATGACCCAAACAAAACACAAGAACACCAAATTCAAATCCACCATCATTGAATATGAAGAACAACTAGCTAGATAGAAAGACATAGAGAGAGTTCCATTATTTAACAACACCTTCTCAACTTTAGATGCTACAGAATCCTCTAAGCTATATCTAACTACTTAAACCAAATCAATTAAGCGGCTTCGCACGAGTAGATTGATCTTCCTTTGATTCAACGCGAATCATAAACACGTATCCTAAAATCCACAGGAGAATGTACTGATAAGGAACCCATGAAAGGCATGCAACAAGACTCAAGATGCTGCCAACATATTGAGGATCACTGATGACCCCGAAAGGGAATTCGGTTACCCACGGAATCGTTTTTCCAAAGCGTACACCATAGTATGTCCCGGCTTCACCAAGCAGCTGATAAACCCTGTCATATGACAATATCATCCGTCAAACAATTGTATCCCTAGTTTAAAGAAAAAGGCACTAATGCCATATTTTCCTTGAATTAACAAAAGATACAAAAACCTTTCAAAAACATCTTCGAATGTGTCTTCTGTTAGTCCGTTTGATCCACCAAATTACTAATAGAAGATACACTCAAAGTTGTTTTTGAAATTTTATATTCAGGGATTATAGTAACTTCAAAAGTATTATCCATCACTCAACAAAAAGTGAATTGAATATAAAGAAAGATATATTTGTATAGATCCATTTAAAACTACAAATTCTAGCTTCAAATAGAATCAATTATGAAAGCATAATCAATCTACTTTAGATGAACCAAACACTTCAAAATCATTCCAAAATCAATTCTCCACCTCTAGAATCAATTCTAGCTTCAAGATAGAATCAATTCATGTAAACTCAGTTCTACTTCTACATCTTTTTGGTCAATTTTAACCTACAAAACCAGATCCTAAAAAACCAGTAAGGATCATAAAAACTAATCTAACATTATTATTCATCAAACAACCGTCCATTTCAGCACCTCATAGCATATCATACATAAAACAAAAAAGGAACAAACTTTATAAAACCCCATTAATAGATCCATAAATTCACACAATACCCAGAAATCAAAAACTTCAAAGGAAGTTACCTGAAGTTAAGAAACTGTCCAAATGCAAAAAGGGGCCAGAAGTAAAAAGGAGGCCAATGAAAAGAAGAGACAGAAAAGAGCGCAATGAACTGAATCAGCTTCAAGAAATGAGAAACGTAAGCCATAATCTTTGAAGGGTCTCTTCCTTTACCGCATAGGTCTACCCATGATTGAGGCCAATTCCAGAGGTAATAGTAGAATGGAAATGGCGATAACACTGCAATGGCCACAAGAATACCCATCACACTCTAGTACAAAAAATCTTTGCTTTTTTCTTCACACAAATAATGGCTTCTGGTTTTCTTGATTCTATGCTTCAATTATGGAATTTGATCCTTCGTGAAAACAAGGGTTATAGATCTTTAAAACTCACTATTTTATTTTTTTATTTGTTTTTATATAAAATACATTGATTTACTGACACAAACATATTACATTAAAAATTATATATTCATGGTATAATTGTCGTATAAAAAATAGACATACAGTTATTCTAACAAAAAAAAACTATACTTTAGGATTTTTTTTTTATAATATTTTTTTCAAAATATTCTAGATTAACTTTTTTTACTTCTTCTTCTAATTATCTTATCAAAAGACAAAATACTTCTCTATAGAAGAGTCATATTATTTTTTTTTTCTCTATAATTCCTCCTGGAAATGCGATTTGCACCCACCGCATACAACAATCCACTACTATTAAAAAAAAAAAATTTTACAACAATTTCATTTCACGTATCGAAAAATTGAAATATAATTCTTGGATGTTGTTTCTTTAATAAAAATATACAATATATTCTGTCGATTTTTTTAAACTAATGGATAAATACTTTGAATCCCAACAATTTTATATTATGTTTTTATTTCATTAAAAGTGATGCCTTCCTGAATAATTTATTTTTAATATAAAATTAAGCCACTTTTCACCTCAATTTTGTTTTCCGAGGTGAATTTGTTTCTCTGACATATATAACTTTAACTTATAACATTCAGTTTCATTTGTTTAAAACAACATAAATAGAATCCTAACCAAGAGTCCTAAACAACGAGAGTCATAAGTACATGTCATCCTCAATACGAAGATGATATGTGTTTAGAGCTCTTGTTTCTTCTTCAGAGATCCAAAACATTTTCTTTCACTTCTTTTTCAAAGATCTGGTACTTCAAACATCACTATTCATCTTGATATTGTTGTTGTTGTTAAGATCTGAAATCATCGAGGTTTAATCTTGTTGTTGTTTAAATAAATTTATATTATAGGTTTATTGATGCTTTTATTGTTGAGACCCGTTATTGAGACCCTAACTCTATAGGTTCAATCTTATTATTTTTGTTGTTTAAACAGATTTACGTTATAGGATCGTCGTTGTTGTTGAGACTCATTGTTGAGATCCTAAACTTTAGTGATTTAATCTTGTTGTTGTTGTCGTTGTTTAAAAAAATTGATGTTGTAGGTTTATTGATGTTGTTGTTATAGTTTTGTTAAGAGATTGTTTTTTTGAATTGTCGTTTAATATAAGTTGCTATTTTAAGTTGTTGATGTTATTGTTGTTGTTATTTAGTTGTTCTCCTACCCAAAGTTATGAAAACTTATATGTGTAGTTTAGTTATTGTTTTTAAGTTTGAGTTTGAGATTGATATTGATATTGAGATTATGGTTTTTGTGATTCTTTGTGCAACTCTCGTCTTGTTTTGTCGAGTTGAGTTTATCATATCTAATGTCAATTTTTTTCACTAACCCCTTTTTAAACATATAACCTATTAAATTGATTTTGAAAATAATCATATGAAAAATTATTTTGTATCCGAACCTTTTCTTACACTGATTAATAAGATTTTCTAGCATTTTGCAACTCATAATTTATTTCATGCTCTTTTATCGTTAAAATCTCTCCAATACTTATAGTTTTCGTTTAACTTTCTTCCATATTTGTTCATTTTCAAAGTATCAAATTTTATGTTTTCAAGAATGAATTAGTAGAAAAGAAAGTATTGAATAAAGAACTTGAAACATTAACTATATAATTTGGGGGACAAGTGTGCAGAACAAGAACAATTAGCTATATAATTTGGAGGGCCAAAGTGAGTCACCCACTCTACCTGATACCCCTCAAGCTTATGAGAACCGTAATGTCATTTTCTCTAATGCTGCTTCACTCACCTCTGGTATTCATGCAGAGCCTCTTATTGATCACACTGCTGTAATTGACGCCGTCAGGACGGAAATTGCCACTCTTAGAGGAGAGCTCACCACTCTGGGCATGGACATTCTTGGCTTTATGGACGTATCCAATGAGCAATTTGACCACTTGTTTCAGCAAATCTATTCCATGAGATGTTTTTTTGAGCCAAATATCAGACGCGGTAGTGGCTAGTGTTACTTTATTACTACTGTATTATGTTTTCTTACCATGCACTTAGATAGTGAGGTCACTGCCTTGATAGGTATCCGTCCCATGCATATCAACTTTTGCTTTAATCGAGACATCATAGGAAACTTATGACCACAAGAGTTTGAGTTGTTGATTGATAACCAAGTGGTGTATAATTTTTTTCTGTCCAACCATGAGAGGACAAGTGTGCACAACAGAAACAATTGGATATATAATTTGGAGGGCCAAAGTGAGTCACCCACTCCACCTGATACCCCTCAAGCTTATGAGAACCGTAATTTCATTTTCTCTGATGCTGCTTCACTAGCCTCTGGTATTCACGCAGAACCTCTTATTGATCACATTGCTGCAATTGACGTTGTCAGGACGAAAATTGCCACTCTTAGAGGAGAGCTCACCACTCTGCGCGCGAACTTTCTTGGCTTTATGGATGTGTCCAATGAGAAATTCGACCACTTATTTCAGCAATCTACTCCATGAGACATTTTTTCGAGTCGAATATAAGACGTCGTAGTGCTATTGTTACTTTTTTGTTACCGTATTCTATTTTCTTACCATGCACTTAGACAGTGAGGTCACTGCCTTGTTTAAGTGTGGGGGAGGAAATGTTTGCCAATTTTCTAGTTAGAATTTTTTTTTTTAATTAGGATTTCATTATTTTCTTGTTATGTTTACACTATTCTTCGAGCTACCGATGTAAAACTAGCGTTGTGTGGGAGGCAACCCACAAGTTTTTATTATCATGTTAATACAAATTTCTTTTTCGTTGTTGTTTTCATTTTACTCTGAGTTTTAGTTGAATTTTTCATTTTTCACTTCTCTTGTATTTTTTGTTTTATATATCATGAAATTTCATTCCGATTAAGGCCACGTGCTTAAACACTATTATGACATAATTTTGGCCTTAGCAACTGAAAAAGCACTTAAAAAAATCACTAATTTTAAGCCTGAATTAAATTTTGCGCAATCAAAGCAAATGGCGGTCGCCAATATGCTAATGGCACCTGATTTTGAAAACTAACATTTTGAAGCTAATGGTGTTCGCCATTAGCCTAAAGGCGGTCGCCATATCAGTAAGACGACACTTTTGATTTTTAAACTTCCCTTGCGCGTTTTTTAGAAACCATGTGCATTAAATAGCCATAATATCTTACTTTTCTCTCAACTCACTCATCTCCTTATCTTCCAACCTTCAATTTTCTCTCCATCACCTTAAATTCTCTAAACCAACTCTCATTCCTAACAAAAGTAATCCTACTCATTCTCCACCTTTCCCTATTTTCTACCCACTCATTCAAATCCTTCAATCTTCCATTCACCATGCCTCCAAGAGCAGTGAGACCTAGAAGAGAGATAGACTACATGGGTATCACTTTCGGAGAAGGCATAAAGAGCGATAATCAGAAGACAAAATACCTCAAGCTGTTCAAGAGAGATGTCACACCTACAAGGTATCCCGCTACTTCTTCCCTTCGTCATTTAGGTTTAATTAGTAGTATTAATAGGATGTTAGAGACCTTAGGAATGACCTATTTTTGTTCATTGACTAGCCCTACGTATGTTTGGCTCACTTACGAGTTCCTTAGTTCATTTAGATATGCCACGCCTGTGGGAGGATCCTTAGTTCGTTTAGAATGTTTAACAAAGATTACACTTTAGCCAAGATCAGATTGCTGATTTATTACAATTCCCTCATGGGAATGGTTTTGCTTGCGAAGCTTCTTTAGAGAGAGATTGGAAAACTGATGCACTTGGTTTTTGGCAACAAATCATTGGCGAGGCCGCTGTTAACTGGGGAGACCTAAAGGCCACCACTATCCATAACCCGACCATTCGGTACTTACACCACATATTAGCCAACACCATTTTCGGCCGGGAAAATAACGGGAAAATGAACTCTAAGGACCTTTTTTATTTACACTAGGCACTAACACGGACACCAGTAAATCCTACACCATTGTTACTAGCATATTTTCAGTCTGTTAGTGTTAGAATAGGCGGTCCCATTTGCGTTGGAGAGTTAATTACATCCATAGCTCGCGCACTGGACCTAGGCAGGAGTTGGCCACGCTTGAGCCACTTGAGACACATTTCTTAGATTTTGATGTTTGTCGTAACATGCACCTAGTTAAGAATAAACCTAACAACATGTATTATACGATGGTTAGTAACAGAGGCATCTGGGGTGTTACTTTGCCTTCCTCCTCCGCGCCCAGATGTGTGAGTAAGGGGCAACTAGACTTACGATCTGAATGCCCCAGAGCCTGGTGATAATGTTAATGTCCAGGCCGGTGTGGGTAATGAAACTGATGATGAGATTAAGCATATGGAGCATGATGCTCTCGAGACCGACACCCATCCACACACTGCACATGGTTTTGTTGACTCTTTTGCAGGTACATCAACCGGATATCAGTCACGTGAGGCATTCGACTACATAACCATCATGACCGCTCTTGACGATGTTCTTTCTGAGTTGAAACACCAGAACGATGTCGACGTCGAGCGTGACCTGCTACTTAGGAGCATGCACACACAACAGGAGGAGATGATAGACACCATTCATTAGATTCGGGAGCAGTAACATGATTACGTTGAGCGGACTGAGCGCAACATGGGGGACCTTGTCGAGCAGATGAATGGATTGCGTATGGGGATATCGAACATGATGGAGTACATGCAGCAATCAGGTGTACCACACTCTGCGCACGGTAGAGGCGGTTTTGGACGTCACTGAGACTGAGGCCGACACTAAGCCGTCTACTAAGGTTTTTCCAATCTTTTTTCGCCTTGCACTAAAACATTGAGGACAATGTTTGGTTCAAGTGTGGGGAGGAGTTTTGTCGCTT